AACTACAAGCACTAATCAGTATTCAAATTTCATCATATAGTAATGTTCTTTATGTTGGGATTTTTGAGGTATAGAATTACTATTATTATACACCTTTCTATTCAGACTAGTATATTAATCTTGGTTGCTATTCACCATCTGAGTCAGTACACTCATATAATCCTCATCATCTAATCAGAGATATTAAGTCTAAAGCTTAAAATTTAGAATTTCTCTTGGACAATCTAGTGGACTTAGATTGTCCAAGAGATGCATTCCCAAATGGATAGAAATGTATGTTCAAGCATATCTGGTTTGCTGGCAGTTCTGAGTTGGGTTTTGTTAGTGGTGAAAAGTCTGAATCAGTAAAAAAAAGACAAGGAATACAAAGATAGCTGATAGGAGTTATCTCCCCTAAGCATGGAACGCAAGATGAGATCTATTCCTGTGGATTGAATAAAGGGTTGAATTTAAAATCTCAACAACCTTACTGAGAATGATGAGCGACACCTGAAGTGAACTGGAGGGTACAATAGCAGAAACATTGTGAGTATAAAAATCAAGTTGAGTATATGAGTTCAAATGGAAACGCATATAATAGTTCTTAGTCTTCATTATTGACATTTTACTTCATATTGTTATTATTTTTTGGCTAGTTTTTCCTCTCATCTTATTATTGTTGCTATTTTTTATTGCAGTACTCATTTTGTTTTATATTCTGTGATTTTTAAACAAGTTAAGGATCCAAAATAAAGCAGTGGTTTCTGATTTTGCTTTTTCTCTTTCATAGCAAAATACCTTTGCTTCTTATTTCAAATAACGCTTGTAGGCAACTATATTGATAAAAACCATCATCATCATCAGTCCCATGATTGGCTGTAGTCATAGCACCATGATCAGCCCCCTCCAAATATCCAAGTTGAACGCTAGAGAGGTATTCATTCATGCATACCATGGCTTGAGCAAGTAGACCTGGCAGAGTCCATCCCTTTCCAGGTCAAGCCATATCTGATGCCCTCCAACTTGAAGGCTTACCTTGATCACAGACATATAGCCATTCCATCAGGGAATGCTGTGTCATCACCACACTAGCTGCATACATAACTATAGAGCCCAGTCATAATCCACATAGTGCTAGATAGCAATTGACTCTCCAAGAAGGTTCCTCCACCCTTTGACAAGTCTTGTTTTTAATTCTGCTGTGTATCTAAACACCCTCCTCACCAGAAAAGTTTGGTGATCAAATGAGTTTAGTCACTAATGGCCCAACAATGCAGCAGGTATTATTGGGTTACATAGTACCAGTAGCAAATGTAGAGTGACCTGACACAACAATAAAAATAGACACACAGATTAAAAAGTAATTATGATCAAGCTGATTTGCAGTGAATGGTATATGCAAAGCATTTTCCTGGTTAAGAATTCAATACATTCAAGAAAGTTGTTCAAAAAGTTCAATTACTCTTTGTCATAAGCAGAGAGTGTATAATTATCTTTCTAAAATAACCCAAGCTCAGTATTAATCCTTTCTGAATAAATTTATAACCAGTTAACCTTTACAAATGTTGGTTTATGGATTGTGCTAGAAAAGATACATTGCCAATTAATTTCAGTATTAATATTACTTGAGCTATGTTTCAAAGTAGCCTAAAATAATTAATAGCAATCAATAATTTCTTTTCAATTCATAAAAATCTTAATTCCTTTTCAATATGCAAAATCTTTCCAATAAAAAAAAAATTATTAAATTTGGCCTTAACAATTTAGACAACAGAACAAAACACAAAATAGAAGTGATTAATTTTTACTAGTTATTGTAATTTTCAAACTAAAACCAAAAGTTCTGAAAATAATTCTTGAAGAATTGAAATGCAAAGATGTATTTATCATACCATCAAAAAAACAGAGGCCAAAAGAAAATTTCTTCTGCATGTTCTTACTAACAGCGTATTTGAAAATAATCTTTACTGTCTAAAGATTTGCACAGAAAAATTTATAAGGTAATAAAATTGTGTATGATACACAGTCACACTAATTTTAACAAACAAAGAGTATCATATTGGCAAGAAGTGTCATTCTATATATCAGAACACAAAGAATGATGATGTATATTAAAAGTATCCAAAACTTCTGTTTAAATCGATATTGATCAAGCACCAACTACAGTTTGGTTAAACTTAAACCATCTGGATGTTATTGGAATGCTACAGCTATGAATTCTATATCTAATCACTAACTAAACATAGAATTGTAAAATCAGTGGTTGGAACAATGAGTCAAGAAAAATTGTATGTGTATTTAAAATGTAACTAAAATAGCCATCTTGAAAGTCAGGATTTTGTCTTAAATTTCTTTGAATGTTTTTATAAATTGATTGTTTTTTTTAAAGATTTGAAGTTTCAAAATGGAAGCTTAATTTAACATTTCTTTCCAATATTTTGAAGCAATACTTCCAGTAATTTAAAAATCATCATCTCATATCAGTCATTCCACATATGAATACAATTAAATCATATATTGCATTTTCCATATTGATACAATTTAACCATGTTTTCCACTTCACATATCAATACAATTAAATCATATCATTAGAAACAATATTTTTACATAGATTCTTGCCAAAGATCTGTGCATTTCTTTTGTGAGTCCCAACTAAATACTTGGGAACACTCTTAAATGGAGTCTGCCTTAGCAGACTAGGTTACCTTAACTGAAATTATTTCTGCTATGGGAAACATGATCATGATCTAGACATAGTGATTAAAGACTACAAACTAAAGATGTTTTCTCATAGATATGTCTGAGCCATCAAATAAAAATATATCTGTTAAAGAATATGACAAAATAATATAAGGATCTTGAAACTGAAATTGAAAAAATATGTCATCTTAAAACTATTGTTTTCCTGGTAATAATTGGAGTACCTGTGTATAATCAAAATAGGTACTGACAGAACCATTAACAAGATTCCTGGTAGCCTTCTATTTACCACTGTGTATAAGTGGTCATCTAATCAGGAGTCTATTATCAATGGAAAGAAAATATGAACATTCTACATGTTAAATATCACTTCACATCAAAATTAGTGTAAATTTTAATATGTTGCCTTACTCTAGATCTTAAGTAAATGAACTGATAAGGACGTGAACAGTAAGGAAAAGAAAATAAGGATGTGATGGGTAAATTGTAACTATTTTATATTTTTAATTTCACACATGTATGTTGTTTGGTTTTTATTTTATCAACTGCACAGTATATTAGGGTTAGTTGGGCACCGTCTGTGAGAAAAAGACCATCATGATGCAATTCACTCCACCAGAAATTTGGAAACAGCATGCTATACCATTTGGCATTCATACTGGAAGCTCCAATACAAACATTTCAGAATGAAAGTGAAAATAATTTACTATTAAAAATAAACAATTTTCAATTTAGGTTATCAATTTATAATCAATATGAACATTAATATTTTGATTTCAATCAGAATTAAAATTTACCTGCACTCTCCTCGTTTTTGATGGTGGGGGGGGGGAGGGGGGAATAAGAGCAAGATAATAATAAAAACAAAAATTAGCTACTGTTCTTTTGCTGGCTCTTACAAACCTGTAGTCAACAAAGAAAGATCTTTTACACCAATCTTTACAGATCTGAAAAAAGCAATGATTAATGATAATATTCTTTTAATCTTTTTTTTTTTAATCAATTCACCCCAAGCAAAGCAATAATGCCACTAAGATGCAAAAGGCTACTGAAAGTGAAAGAGAATGAAAAAAGATTTTAGAAGGAACTGGAAACTCAATCTTAAACAGGGAATAAGGGGTAAACCTTTACTCCTGTTCAAAAGAGTGGAGAGGAGTAATTTTTAAAATATTGTTTTTCAGAAAAATGTAAAATTTCTAATGGAAATCAAACTTTGATTCAAGAATAAAAAAAAATTTTTTTTAAATTATTTATAAAAATTTAAATGAAAACTAGAAATATTTAAAAACTGATCTACCTGTCCTTTATGAAGAGGAAAAGTAAATAAAAGCCAATTTGTTTCCATTGCAATAATCTCACAGAAATGAAGGCTGTTTTATTGGAAATAGTAATGGATTTATAAAATTTATATGTTGTCTGGCAACAGCTGTAAGTTTAAACAAAATTCGTTTGGCTTAAATATTACATTTCCTCATTCTGAGTTTTAATTGTAGGTTTATCCAAGTTTTATGTTGTAATATAAAAGAGTTGCCCAATATCTAAGCTACATCGCAAACATACAGTTTTTTTCATTCAAAATCTAATGACTATTTCTACAGACAACCAGCTTATACACATAAAAATGCATGTATAAATGACATGGTTATGATTCCTATCATTCAAATACACAAGAAAGAACACATGCATATTAACATGTGGATGCACTGCCTAATGTTGGGGATTTCTTTGAATAAGAAATAAATTTCAGTCTCAACTCTGCCACTTCAATTATTTCATGCACTGGTAAAAGCAGGCAATCTGAAAAACTCTCAGTCAGACAAATGAACTGAACGACTACACAAAAATGCACAATCAGTCCTTATATAACAAGGTATATAATAGGAGAGTTAGACATCAAATGGGCAAAAAATGGAATATGTTTATAGGTTCAATTGAACTAGTTTGACATGGTGGTATGATACCAAATAATTGGGAAGAAGAAATTTTACCTACAATTATATGGCTATGATATGACTATATATAATATAAGATAATTATGATTTTGGACCGACTGAGTTGTTTTTATGGCTAATCAACCTATTGCAAGTTATTTAAAACCAGAAAATATTTTTAGATTGTAAGAAGTTTTGGAATATAAGGATTTTTACTGATATGAGTCATACTAATTAACCTATAGCTATGGGTGGAGAAGCAGTGAGTTCATACCTTTTTCAAGGATATTTGTGTGTAAATGGATATAATGAATCCAGCTGGAATTAGAACTCGGGTCTACAATTTCTCATCCTGAATTATTATCCATTACACTATCTGAACATCCAAGTTTACAGCACTTGGTATTCCCAAGCAGTCACACGTCTAGGTACTGACCAAGCTCAAGATTGCTTAACTTCAGTGATCAGCCAAGAACCAATGTTTCAACATTATATGGTTGTAAGCCCATATAATTATATGACAATGCTCTCTCTCTCTCTCTCTATATATATATATATATATATATATGTAAAATTAATAAAAGGTTTTACATAAAATATAGTAGTGGATACTGAAGTCAACACCAAGCAGCAACAGTCTGTTTCATGCTTGAATGTAATCTAGGTCATGTGTGCTGTGTTTTGGCTCAACTATTTATATATGCTGGTCAATGGTATATTTCATAGTGTTGTTTGTTAACCTTTTACTCATTGCTTATTATTTGTTAGTAATAAATAATAAACAATGAGTAAAAAGTTAAAAAACAACACTATGAAATAGCTACAAATAACAGTATTCAGATCCACAATTTCTTCTATTCAATAGCCACTAGAATAATTTGAAACATAACTGTCATTGCCTACCCAATAATTGTTAGGATAATACAATAGACATTGCTATACATAATGCACCATTAGCTATCATATTTAAATAGTCTAGCCAAAACACTACACACGGTCTGAAGAAGAATGAAACAGTCAGTTACTGCTATGTGTTAACGTCAGTGTCCACTATATATTTACATATGCTCTATCTGTGATATTGCATAACTTAAAACTATATTTTTATCATATATATATATATATGATAAAATATAGTTTTTATATATATATATATATATATATATATATATATATATATATATATATGGGGATTTTTAAATTTAAAGATTTTTTTTAATTAAAAAAATTTAATTTAAAGATTTTTATGTGTTTTGGGTATAAAATCTAGGTGATTTAATTTAGATTCACAAGAACTAAGCACATCAATGTAAACATAAACTTAATCCAATAAAGTTGTAAAGAATGAAACATGTCACACAAAATCTTTTCCTCTATATATATATATATATATATATACAGATAGAAGGTGCCTTGTGGCCTTCTGAAGTCAACACTGACTGCTGACAGATCATTTCATGCTTGAACATAATCTTCAGGCAAGCTTGCAGTGTTTACTTTTATATTTAAGTATACTCTATCCCTAATATTCAGCACTTTTTACCAATAAACATTGCATATATATATATATATATATATATATATATATATATATATATATATATATGAGAGTGAGAGGGTAGGGGTGAAGGTGCATGTATTAATAGATATAGACTGATAGCAATATTAATAATCCAGCACTTTTATTAAAAGGACAGAAAACTGCAATGAGTTCACAAATATTATAGACCTTGATTGAAGCTAATCACATCCTTGAAAATCATTACAAAGCATCTCTTGCACATGCTCAGGAAGTAATTATCTACTATTACTACAACAACTCAACTACTACCACCAACACCATGATGGGAGGCATCCTAACAAATAAACATCAAGTCAGCCACACAAGAGATTAGGCTTTTCTTTATTCAGGATAACCACAGTTAATGTAAAATATGTGTGTACATATGCTTTTGAGTTGTATGAATCTTTGTTTGGGTTTTTTTTTCAGTATTGTTAATACTTTTTTAATGAATTGATATGTGAATTTAAGGTATTTTTATTAAAAATGAATCTTTATGTAGTAAAGTCTTAAAACTTTCTCTGTATATTTTACATTGTTAAATGTCTACTGATGTGATTATAATAGAAAAATCTACAAGAAAAACCTTTTGTAAATCTTTGGTGACTAATGCAATAACTAGTGCTTCCTGTTCCAAGGCTATAAGCACAAAGAAGAGCACAATCACAGAAAGCCACAGAAAGCAATTACCATTTTATGCAAGACACACTGAAAAGAAGACTTGGATAAAAATTTTTAATATTAGAAACTGAAAAAAAATGTGTACGGAGAAAATAATTTCTGTGGATTATTTGATTTGAAAATCTCTGAATAGTCTGCCAACAGCTGAAAGTGTAACATGTAAAAGGTTTGCATCTGAAATGAAACGCACAAAATGCTGCCAAATTGTGTAAACCTAGAAAACAATATCAACAACTGAGTGAAAAGAAGAAAAGAACTGGGAAATAAAGTGGAAAGAAAAGAGAAGACTAAGCAAAGAAAGAAAGTAGGGGAAAAAAGAAACAACAGATGGATTGAGTATAGAGAGAACAATAGAGGGAGATAAGGAGTAGAGAGAGAGAGAAAGAAATGACTGTAGGAGGATAGAAAGGAAAAAATAATGAATGAAAAACCATGTTGTGAGTAAAGCACTATCAGAGTTTCAATTAGAAATGCCAACACACTGACAAATCAAATTATGTTCAAGGTCCTGTTCTCTTCTCCATTTTAAATAGGGAAATGGACAATTTGTACCCAAATCATTTCTCACAAAAATGTTTACTTTTAAAGTTTCTTTACAGTATCTGTTTTAAATTTGTTTGAGTCTTTCTTTTTTTCTCAAATTTGTGATATTAAAAGCTTAGATGGTTAGTCTAAAAAAGGACATCAGGCTGTAGAGTATATGAAAAAGATGTCAATCAAATAAGAATATATACATATATATTTGAATTGGGAACTGGGTGTATTTTGGTATGTTTCATTAAAAAGCCAACATGTGATAGTTGGAAAAAATTAAACTGATGATATAACAAACAACAAAAAGTCTTTGAAAATGGCTGGTGTTAACTGAAACTGCTTAGACATGAGAAAATATATTTACAAATACAAGCTGAAAAACAGGAGAATGATTAGAAACATTGAAAAATTAAAAAGATCAACAAGGAACTTTCATTAGTTTTTAATCAAACATGATTTTTCCATTAGTTTTTAATGAATGAATATATATCAAAATAAAAAGAAAGAACAGTCAGATTTATAATCCACAGTTCCTTAGCATTTATTTTTAAAACCAGTGCTCAATACACAGTAGAGCATAATATTATAATATTATTATTTAAAAATATGTATTCACCATGACGCAGAAATTACTATGTTTTGGAACTAAAAACTAAACATTCAATTAGACTTAAAATTAAAGTTTTTGTTCCATTCTCAAATGATGTTGAATAACTTTAAAAAAAATGATTTACTTTTTTAAACTAAATAGTATTATATAGTTTAAGTTGGAGGAGGAAAGGGATTACAAAATTTTAAAAGGGTGTTGCCTTTTTTGACAAATCAGGATAAAAGTCTAATTTAAAATGTCAAAGTGTAAATATAGGGTTAGGTTTGGGTTTGTAATTTCTGCCTGTCAATACTGGCTTCCTTATATGAGGATGTGCCATCTTGTCTGTTTTTTTAAGGGTATACATAAGATACACGATAAAACATTGGCATTTTTATTTATTTTTTTTTATTTTTTATAAAATATATTGGGATTTTCTTAAAGGAGCTTCAAATATGATTAAGTCATATTTTATATATTTATATTTTTATTTATTAAGATCTAAAATACTATATTTATTATATTTATTAATATACTAGATATGGTATAGTTAAAAATAAGATTTTAATATTTAGGAATTTAATTACACATTTTTTACATAACTGGTTTTGTAGACACTGCATTATGTTTACCTTAAAGCATAATTAATTTTAAAAAAATTTCATAATTATATATCTATCCATATATAAAAACATAAAACGCTCATGTGCAAAATTATAAAATGGCGACAATTTACTCATCGCACTCTGTATATAAAAAAAGGAATGGTGTATTTTTTATTTATTAATCCAACAGATTTTTATTACTTAAATGTTATTTTAGTGGATACTTGTATTTGAGTAGAGGTTCCATTTAATTATTAAACAATATATTTATTTATTTTCATCTACTGAGAAATCTTATTAGAGAAACATATAGTCCCTCTGGCAGAATTTGAATCCTAGGGTAACACAGGTTCAAATCCTGCCAGGGAGGAGAGAAGTAATAAAAATATCTATGTATTACAGTTAAGTAATTGTTTTGTATATTTATAAAATAATAATAATATCATATATATATATATATATATACACACACACACATAAAATATTACACACTTTGAGTGCGGGTTCTAATAAATAAAAAATAATAAATAAAATAAATAAGAAATATATAATGTATAATGTGTGTGTGTGTGTGTGTGTGTGTGATATTTAAATGTAAATCCCATTTTATATACCTACTGGCATATAATAAAATGTAATGCTTTACACCCTAAAAATATGAAAAGCATAAAGAATAAATTAAAGTGCTCAATGCTTAAATAAACCAGAGTAATCTAAGATTAGATTACAAAAAACACAGCAACTCTTGGAAAGCAAACTTTCATCTCCTGACTCTTCAATCTTAGAATCAAGATTAAAGATTGATCCTAGCACTCTAAACCTGCAGAATCACAAAAGAAAAGTCTACTTACCAAGTGTTGCTGTAATCTTTGTTTTTAATTTGATCTTATATATATATATATATATATATATATAAGTATTTTCTATAAATTTTGATAAATTAATTAACAGCCAGCAAATAAAAACAAGTTACCATAAACCATCATTAAAACTAAATCATCAATTAAGCATATAATTTTAAAAAACTCCTTGGCATATTAATACACCTTTCTTAATTCTTTAATTTTGAAAGTGATCACAAATGCTTCTATTAGTCTAGATTTGATTTAGGACTTAATGCTGATAGCAGCAGTTCCAACCAGATCACCAAAGTTAAGCAATGATATAATCTGCTCATTATTTAGATGTCTCAGGAATAGTAGGTATCATAGATATTTAGATGTCTCAGGAATAGCACTTATCATAGAAGATATTTACATGCCCCAGGTATAGCAGGTATCATAACAGATATTTAAATGCCTCAGGAATACTAGGTATAATAGCAGATATTTAGATGCCTCAGGAATAGCAGGTATCATAGCATATTTTTAGATGCCACAGAAATAGCAGGTATCATAGCAGATTTTTAGATGCCACAGAAATAGCAGGTATTAGTAGTATTTAGATGCCACAGGAATAGCAAGTATCATAGCAGGTATTTAGATGCCACAGGAATAGCACTTAGCAGAAATTTAGTTGTCTCAGGAATAGCACATCATAGCAGATATTTAGATGTCTCAGGAATAGCTCTTATCATAGAAGATATTTAGATGTCTCAGGAATAGCACTTATAGCAGATATTTAGATGTCTCAGGAATAGCACTTATCATAGCAGATATTTAAATGCCTTGGGAATAACAGGTATTATAAGCAACCCAAGATCAGTGTATCAGATGAAATAAAGTTTAGTAAATAACTAATTACTTCAGAATTGATTTTGAGCCATTCTTCTATATGCTGCATCCCTTAGGCAATCATGGCTCTCCCCAACTTTCTATCCCATGTACATTTTAGCAGTTTTTCTTTCTTTGCTAACCCCCCCCCTATTCTTCCATCTATTTATACAAGCTCTCAGTATTTCCTTTCCTCATTATGTGTCCAATAAATTTTAGCTCTGTTTTCCTGATTCTTTAAGACTTCCTTGTTGCTCATTTGCTCCTTCCATTCTTTTTTTAAGGAATCCTTATGTATAACCACATTTCTGCTGTCTCTAATTTGCTCCTCATCTGTGCAGAGATTTTCCAACATCCACTGACATTCACAGACGATGAATATCATATAGCAATCCAGCACTCTTTTCTTTGTTCCTAATAATTTTTTCCATTTCTCAGCACCTTGCTCTAGTTTTTGGAATGCTTCTTTTGCCAGCACAATATTTTCTTGGATTTCAATATTGTATTTTCCACCCTCTGTTAAAACGCTTCCCAGATATTTGAACTTCTGCACCTTCTTGATGTTTATAATTCATAATTCACATAACCCATCCTATTTACAGACCTTGTTTTACCCTGGGTAGTTCACAGCATTGAACTAATGTTTTTGCTGCTACTAATTATACATATTAAGAAGACTGGAGAATGGATCAGAATAAAATATTGTAACAATAACAGTAAGAAAGAAAATGTTTAGTAGTTCAAATGATTTTTGGATTCATTTTTGGAACATCTCATGCACTTCACCATCTTTACATCTCTGCTGAATTTTTTCCATATTTTTAAATACTCATTTTCAGCAGACAGATTGAAATTTGCTTCTATTTGTGTTTATATCATTAGCTATAAATGCTATTTGGAAATATATTTTAATATTATTATAAAATTTATAACTGCTGTTTAGTTGAAAAGTTATTCCACATGTAGTGACATTAAAAATATTATCAGCAGCAGCTCTGAAATAAAATTTATATCAGCAGCAGCTTAAACATAATAGCAGTAGCAGCTCAAAAATAAAATTCATATCAGCAGCTCTCAAATATAAAAACACATGAATCCTAAAGTAACTTTCTCTTTCCCTTTTTTGGACTACTGACATGAACTTTCCATGCTGAAGCTACAAGTGCTGTGAATGCTTCAAATAAAACACACCAACAAAGTAAGTTCCCACTATAACATATTAATGAACATTTCATTGTGTATAAAATTTATGTCTAACATAAGAAACTCTTGTTTTAAACTTTGCTTTTCTTAATTTTGTTTTAATAAATGTTATCTTTGCATTGCAAATCAATTGGTCTGTTATTTTGTGCATGTTCTCTTTTCACCATGATTATTCCATGTGTTGTAAAATGTTCCCAGAAGAAACCTTACATATGAATTATTGAAGTAGCTAATCCCTAAACACAAAAGCTGATTGCTTGGAATTAATAGAGTGAGAAGAAAAGTGTTGAAAGAATTAAGGGATTGCTACAGTAAAAATTCAGCAGAATAACAGGTACAATAAGGCAAAATACACAAACTGATTAGTATAGAATCTATGGTGTTATTGGGCAAAATTTAACTTGACACTCTAGTGAGTATTCCTAATAAGAATATATATATATATATATATATATATATATATATATATATATATGTATATTCAAATGAGAGAAAGAACAGATGAAGTAAAATTACGCTGTTCATAGCATTTACTTTTTTTTTAAAAGTGCTCAATACAAAGTAGAGCAGTATATTATTATTATTATTTTATTTTAGACATTAGAACAAAACATGTTGAAAATGTTAAAATAATATATATATATATATATATATATATATATATATATATATATATATATATATATGCACACACATATACATAGAAAGTAATACAAGTTGAATATACTTATAATAACACTACTAATAGATTGATTCATGTTCTATGGCTTATCAACCATTTGCAGGTTATTTAAAGTTATAAAATATTTTTAGATTGTAAGAATTTTTATTTTTTTTTAGATAATAATGATTTAATGATACACGTCTTACTAATTAACCCATAGCTGGAGGGAGAAGATTTGGATCCATACAATTCCCAAGGGTATTTGCATGTAAGTAAATATAACAAACCTGACTGGAATTGAAACACTGCTCTTTGATTAACAATTCCAAGCCATTACCTGTAACAACACCTGCAAATCCAAACTTACAGTACCTGGTATTCCCAGATGGTCATCCATCTAGGTATTAGCCAAGCTCAATGTTGCTTAACTTCGGTGATCATACAGGAAATGGTGTTTCAACATGAAATGGCCATAAGTTGATACTAATGTAAGGTAAAATTGTACAAAACTACATATTTTAACAAAATCTATGACAAACTAGAAAACAAATTTTTGTGCAACGTGTTTCACCCTTTAGGACTTCTTTAAACTAAAGTTATGTTTATATTAATATGATTACACATGCACATGAAGGAGAGCGGTCACTGGAATTTTATATTTAAATTTTTTTTTTTTAAGTATGTGTTTTTGTTATATAAAATAGCCAAGCTCACTTAGTTTTTTTTGTTTATGTTTTTATCACTTTTATTATTAAAAAAAATCCACTTTGTCATAGATTTTCCTAAAATTGTTCTCCATATAGAAAAATTTATATATTGTTTTCCATTAGTGAATGCTGGACAATCTCCTCACTGATGAAAAAGAGACTTGAAGCAACAGAAATGTTATTCTACAAATAGATGCTGAGAATAAACCTTGATTGAATATGTGAACAACAAAGTTTTAGAGAAAATGGAAACAAAAAAGACTTATACTTAACATCAGGAAGAGAATGTTGAAATTTCTAGGGCACATATTGATGAAAGAGGGCTTGGTAAATCTGATACTCACAGGACATATTGAAGGCAAGAGGGGGAAAGGAAAACAATGCATAACTTATTTAATGAGCTTGTGTAAATAGATAGCAGAAGGGAGTTTAGGAGAAATAAAAAAAAAAACAACAAAATTTACAAAGAGCTGCAAAGGACAGGAAATTGTGGATCCTCATGATTGCCAACATCCTAAAAGGACATGGCACATGAAAGAAGAAAGTCTCCTTAGATCTTGTACATGTGTTATTTGAACACCATCATGTCTCTAACAAACGCTTTTTTTTGAGAATTCACTTGACAGCTTTTTGGCAGGAAAGATTGAGCTGCTACTTATGATATTTTTATGTGCTTACAGTAAAAGTGAAAAAGGCCAAGGCATAATTAAATAATAAACAGACTAGAATAGCATTCAAGATGGCTACTTTTCAAAACTGTTTGAAATAAGCACGTAACCTGATTTGATTATTTTTAGTATTTGTTATGGATTGACCACACAGACAAGAGTTCGGAGACTTATCTTCTGAGATGGATTTTTAGACTTAGTGATGCCCTAAGTTACACAAAGATTAGAAAGCCTTTTTTTAAAAAATATATTCAAGTAGTTCTCATTTAAAGAAATTTGTCAAGGTTCCTTCAAATTGTGATACCCTAAACTATAGCTTTTTCTATCAGTTACAAAGGGACCAGTATATGTGTTCCCCAGCTTAGAGACATTGCTACTTGCTAGTAACATGGTAGCAATAGTAACAGAGTTAAAATTATAAGAATAATTTTTAATGTTCTGTAAAAATATAAAAATAGATATTTATCACATATATACATTCATGTTTAGCAGTTATTTCTGCAAGTCTGCTAATATGTGACTCCTTATGAGTAAGGAAGCTGCTTATTCTTTAGCTACTACTGGTGAAAGAGGCAACACTGTATTTCTGCTCCTTACTACTAAATCTGAAATTCTCCTCTAAGACACCATGTGTCTCTTTATCATTTCTTTGAGTTTATTTCAAATTGTTATTGTTTCTGTTTGAAAAGTGTTTTCCTTGTTTGTGTATTTCCTTGAAATGCATTTTGTTTATCTATTTCACCTTTTGAAAGATATATTTGTTATTTGTTTCTAGTTTTTATGGTGTATTTCCTAAGTAAAAAGATAACATCAGCATGATGTAGGCCACTGTGTTGAGTGAGACCCTGTGGGGAAAATGAATGGAGGCATAATGTTAACATCATTAGTGATCACTTCAAACACCATGATGTTGTATATGGTAAATGTGCTCAATACCAGATATTATAGACTGTCTGAATATAGGAATCAACAATGCATGGTGACTGTCAGTTTCACGCTTCAATATGATCTTCACTATATATATATATATATATATATATATATATATATATATATATATATATTGACCAGAAGATTGTATTTGACCTCTCTCTCTCTCTCTCTCTCTATATATATATATATATATATATATAGAGAGAGAGAGAGACAGACAGACAGAGATAGAGAAAGAGTGAGGCAGACAGACAGGCAGTCAAACAAATAATGACTGAACAATAATTAAATAAAATTTACCCAAATGTGTTAGAGTTGATCAACAAGTTCTAGCTAAACCTGGTCAGTGAAAGCAATCACTTAACCAAGTTGATTAAGTGTCCTTTATTAATTAAAGTGGAGAACGTAGTCCTGGGATCAGTGAGGCTTATTAGCATATCTTTAGATGGCTATTAATATTGCCACTTGGCTATCAATTAATTTAAATGAGGTTAAAAGATGGCAAAATGGAGAAAGAAATGTGCATTAAAATTCAGACATGATAAATCCATGGTAATTAGAAAAGATAAAAAAAGAGACATTTTAAATTACAAGAATACCTCAATTAGTGCAGTTAATGTGTACATCAGTAACTATAAAAAATCAGTTTTCAATTACTATGGTTAAACTGAAGAATGTTTTACCATACTAAGTGAGTATTATGTAAGCAAAAATCTAATTGTGCTATATAAAAATTTTAGCGCACTAATCAGAAACGCATTAATTGAGTATACATTAATCGAGAGATGACTATATTACAAAGATATTTTTTCATTTAGTTTTTACAATTAACATTTCTCTTGGAAGTTCATAATGTTTTATTGGGCAATTTCCTGTGTGAATCTTATCTAATCTTTTTCACTTATTAAATTTATTGATTGTAGTCTCTCCTTTTCATCTAATTTCTTTTTTATAGATACTCTAAGTTTATCAACTCAGAAGCAAACACACTTCCACTGGTATAAATTGTACAGTAAGAAGCAATTAAAACATACTCTACATAACAGATAATTATACAGAAAAGGCAAATAGTTATGAACTTAAAAAAGAGAAAATGAATAAAAAATTTGGATATTTTCTGAGGCAAAACCTATGCTTATTATCAAGTCTTTTCACATTTACAAGTCTACCATTCATCCATGCATTGAATATTGCTGCTACATCTGGCCTGGTGCTTCTGCTATATATCTAGAGATTCCTGACAAAATTCAAAGAAGAATCAGCAACATTATCAATCCTCACCTGGCATTTCAACATTGGTCATGTTCCCATCACTGTAATGTAACATCTGTTTACCTCTTCTATAAATATTTTCACAGTAACAGTTGATGAGCTTTCCTTATTGGTATGACTTCACGAATTTAAGTGCAGTATTAGATAGGATGGTAATGTAATGTGGTGTTTCCCAACCTATGGCCACTGTGCCACAACTGGCCATGGCAAATTTCAGGTGGGCCACAGAAATTTTATAAATTTTACTGGGCCACCAGGCTAATATATGGGTCACAGCTAATTGAATGACCCATAGAGCTTTTATTGACTACTTCTTTTTTGTTTTGTGCCATATATAAGAAACATTATAAAAATAAATGTTGATAGTAAATGGTTGTTTCAATGGAGATGCAAAATATTTTAGATGCTTATGAAATTGTATGTCCAATAAATAGACATAGAATATGTCCAATAAAAATACAACTATGTAAAATGGAAGTAATAATGATAATAATTCATGGGCCACAGAAAAATTCTGAGTTTGAAGTGGGTCATGGGCTAAAAAAGTTTGGGAACCACTGGTGTTAATGGATAATGGCTTTGAATGAGAAATCAGAGATCCAAGTTTGAATACCAGTTTCCTGCTTTCTTGTCAATTATGATTTTCAAAAATTTAAATGCTATGTCAACTGTCATCTTCTGTCACCTTGAATCATGTTCTTTTGTCTTGTTTCTTTTACTCTCAGTAACCCCTTACAGCCTAGTGGCTTTTATTGCTGTGAAATGATTAAAATTATCTGTCTCTCTCTCTCTCTCTATATATATATATATGAGATGTCTGGCCTTGAGGTTTAGATAGCTGTAAATTTTTTACTGTTGATATTCAAGCCAAGATGAGAATTCAGCATTTTAAATGCTGCTTTTCAAGTGAGCCAAACTATACTCACTTACAAGATTGGTATAACACAATGATTTCATTTTATTGAACCATGTGAAAGGATAAGCTCAATTTTGTATAAATAAAAAAGAAAATGACAAGCAGTAATATTCAATATACATTATTTCAAACTGTTATTTTCATCTTGATTATTATAAATCTTCTTATAGACACAATATTTCAGTCAAGTACACTCTGGCCATCTTCAGGTGTCCATTGTTTGCCTGGTATAGGATATCAGTTATTGTGTTATTCTGTCTCTGCAATATCAATTCTTGTTCATTCCTGCTGAACCAATGTATATTGTTTCACTACATAATGCAGGGCTTTGAACTTACAGCCACTAGATGACAGTAACACATTTAGCTAATTCCTATATCCACAATGCCACCATTCCAAAGGACCTTAGTAGTGTATTCTTGGAGCCTTTATATTCAATGTCAGATGGTTTTGACATTTAGGTATTATAGCTTCTTCATACCGCTTTTCAATAATTTTGTATCTCATTCTTTCAGATAGGGAATTGTCAAGATACTTTAATTTATTTAAACTATTGTTCTCATCTTTATTACTATAGACACAACTAAGCAGTGATAATGTTGGTATTATATTATTTTTGTTTAAAGTATTCATCTAATCTTAATAATAATTAAAAAAAAAGTTTCCTTGTATTCTTACTTTTTAAATTACTCTTTTATCTTACTGACCTAAAGCATCTGAAAGTTTTAATATCTTTATCTCATCTTGAGATCTTACCACTGCCATCCTACAAGGTATCACTTTAGGCAAAAAAAGAAGAGACAGACTGAGTAAAAGAAATGGATGACAACACCACTGAGTGTTCTGGAAAATCATTCAAAGAGCTTCAAACAATGACATGCAACCAAGATATATGGAGGGAGCTGGTCTGGTGCTCAGCTGCACAGTGGCCCTACGACTCCCCCTGGTCACGGAACTGATTATGATGATGATGATCTCTTGAAATATTTTACTCTTTCTCTATATCATTTTGACTTACAGCCACATCATGTTGAAACACCAATTCCTATATGATCACTGAAGTTAAGCAAAATTGAGCCTGATCAGTACTTAGATGGGTAACTGCTTCGGAATACCAGGTTCTGCAAGCTGGGATGTACAGGTGGTGTAATGGATAATCGCTCAGAAATGTTAATCAGAGAGCCAAGTTCCAATTACCATTGGGTTCATTATATTCACTTACATGCAAATGCCCTTGGGAAAGGTATGAATCCACCTCTTCTCCCTCTAACTATGGGTTAATTAGTAATACTTGTATCACTAAAACATTATTATCTAAAACAAAAATATTCTTACAATCTAAATTTTTTTTTCTAGCTTTAAATAACCTGCAAAAGGTTGATAAGTTCTAAAAATAGAAAAAAAATCAATGCCATTTTCTAATTCTTTTTCTTTCTCCTTTTCAGTTTTCATGGACTATTTTTATACCAATAATTATGATTTTCTATTTCACTACTGGATGTGCAGGTAGTGTAATGGTTATTTTTGCAAAAAGGGAAATTGAGCCTAGTTCAAAATCTATCCTAGCCAATTGCATTTTCTTTCACACTAATGCCAAAGTCATGTCTTTATCTCTTCTTCCCGCAAGCTATGGATTAAATAGCAGTGTAAACTGGTCTCTTTAGGCTTTGATGACAACCAGTCTAAAAGAAGGAAAACTCTGAATTAAAAACCATGCAGAAAACAACAGGAAAACATTTATCTTCACCAAGAAGGCATGGCAATTCACAGAAAATAAAGAAAAGGAATCTGTGGAGAGCCAGAATCATCTACATTGTGAAAGGATACATCATTTGAAACAAGGAAAAATTTTCACAATTAAAATACACTATTTCTTCTTTTTTCCCTTTTATCATGCTAAAACGTAAACACTATTACCAGGTTTATACAGATTACAAACAGAGAAATTTATAGGCTGTCATCAAAAGTTAAAAAAGTATTCAATAGCCAAGTATTTTTGTCTTATATCTTAAAGGTGATGAATGATTTGTTAGTTGAAATATTATAAACTTCACTTAGCCATAAGTATAAGCCAAGTGTAGGATTTCCTTCCATGTTTATTAAGTAGTTATAGCATTTGCAATTCTCTTTATATAAGCACTCATTTCACTAGTAAATATTCCTTACTTCAATTTCCACTTAGGCACACTTTCTCTTTCTTTCTATTTTCCAACTAATTTACACAAGTTTTCAAAAAATTATGGCATTGTTAACTATGCTATATTGACTTTTGGATAACTATTATGGAGATGACAAATTCATCTTGACTAATTATTATGAACTTTTTGCTGACAAATCTCAAGACCAAGATATTTGAAACTTGAGTTTCCTCAGGTTTAACCATAATTTTGAGTAGCATTTCATTAATTATAGCATTGTGGTGCTTATTTACTCTATTGATTCATGGACTTTGCACTAGTGTAGTTCATACAATAATAATATTCAAGTTTTGAGCCATGTCTTTGAAAGCTTCATTGTTGAATTCTCATCCATTATCTGTTAGTAATTAAAAGCAAGTCCAAAATGTCCAACCCTAAACCAAAATACAATGTCAATAATTTCTGAATTTTCTTTTGACTTTATCTTAGATGCAACACTATATGCTAACATGATCTATTAAAGGAATAATTTTAGTTCCTTTAATCAAGAAATCTTGCAATTTCCTTATACTTATAAAATATTGAAAACTTTTCTTTTTCAACATTTTCTGAATAATAAACTAAAGAAATAGAAATTTGTTCACCATTAAATACTTATGACTTTTATGTCAACAGAAGAATAATGATGACAAACAAAAAGTGTTATATAGAAAATTATATGTATATATAAACAATGTGTTTTATATATATATATATATATATATATATATATATATGTGTGTGTGTGTGTGTGTGTGTGTGTGTGTGTGGATTATTATATAACTATTAACTCTATTAGTATAGGAAATAAGGAAATTGAACATAGAATATCTTATATACTTGAGTATAATGCAAGTTTTTATGATCAGTGTTTTATGCAAAATTAGGGTGTTGCAATATACACAAGTAATTTTTTTGAAGTGGTTAACAATGCATTTTTGATGATCAGTTGCTCTATACACAGGTAAAATTTTTCTAGGGTTAAAATTCATGCCAAAAAATACAGGGGTTGCACTATAAATAAAATCAGCTAATACATGAGTATATATGGTAAGTTGCTTTAGAGGTACTTTTCTTCAATGCCACAAGATGCTATTAAACCAAAATATTATTTATTTATTCTTATTGCCACTGCAATGCTCAATGAAACTGAACAGCAGTCCCCAGGTGCACACACACACACAAACAAAAACAAACAAAACAAAACACAAAAACTCAGCATCTAATGAAGAAAAGTAATAACATTTAAAATATGTTGAAAATTGTCAGCATGCAACAGCATACATTTTACCCAGAGCCCAAGAAAAAAAGCTGTCTCTCAAGTGCTTTGCCCTTGAACTAATAGAACTAAAACTTCATCCTGAGGGTAGAAGTTCAAACAAGTGATGCGTGCTGACTTTCATTACTATTCCTGCTCTACCGTGACAACAAGAATAAGAAATGTCCTCTAAGGAGAGCAGCAAGCAGCTGATTATTTTCTGAGCAACATCTATAATCTTTGGAAGGCTCTGTTGTTTGCTGCTAAGCAGCTGGCATAACTTGAGCCATGTTTTTTAAATATCCTCATTTAATCAAGACTTTCATATTTCAAAACTATCAGCTATATACAACCATTTACTCAGTTCAATGATTAAAAATTGTTTTAATGGAATCCTTCAGGACTTAAAGGCAACAATCCTTCATCAGATCTTATAGACTAGTGCTACAGAATTAAAAATAAAGAACTTTAGCAAATAACAAAAATCACATCAGTTGAAGACTTCAATAATTAAAATAGATAGCACATCAAACTAGAATGGAAAATAATGATATAATCAAGATATTGACTTTCCATGCTCTCTTGAACAAAAGGTTAGGAAGGAAACCCATATTAATACTAGAAAGAACAATAATAGTAGACTTGAGAAGCCTATTTTCCTGAGAAACTCTTAAGAAAAAAGAATTTATAAATTTCAGTTGATCATAACTGTTAGTTTCAATCTCTATTAGGAATGACTGCAAAATAATTTCCCTTCCCCTTTTAAAGGCAGAAGCACACAAATGCATGCTGGGATTTTTTCATAGCCAATAAAAGAAGCCAGTTTGACATGATGCAGTCCTGGTCTGTCTTGTCTTGAAGTCAGAATGCTACATTTGCTTGTCCAAACTTACTTTTGTGTGTCAACCCCAATTCTTAGTTTGTGAACTTTTTTTGCCATGTTACTGTTGCTTTGTCTTATTACTGTTAATTTGCCTTGCATGTATTGTTTGCTTGCTTTATATTATTTTTTGCCCTGTTCTTTTCTTTTTCTTGTTATTGCTTATTGCAAACTTTGTCAGTTCTGTTTGTTGGACAGTTCTGTTACTTATTATGAATTTGACCATGGCTACTCACTCCACACTAATTCAATGAATGCTAAATGTTTCCTTACAAGGGAATGGCTAATCTCACCATTACCATTACTGTTGCATGGTATTTGCAGTCTAAGGTTTGAAGCAATTCAGTAAACAATTCATATTTACCTCACTTGACTACAACTTTGAAAAGTGTTGAGAAGTGACAATCATAAAGAAAGAATAGATATTTTTAAATAATTAAAAGTGAAAATATTCAAAGATGGCTAATATGAAGCAAAATAATAACATTTAATGTATTAACAAAGTAGTCATACCCCTTAGTTAAGAGATCTTCTAATGATATTGTAACAAGAGGCATGTTCACTTCTAGTGGTATCAAGTAATGCCTTGTGTCACCACCATGAAATACCTAATTACTAAGTAGGTAACTGGGCTGTATGATTAGTAACTATATAAAGTCACATCATGACATATAAGTGAATATTAAAGTCAGCACTCAGGCCTGATGATTGCATTTAACATGAAACAGTCTGTCACTTCTGAATATTGACTTCAATATAACACAAAATATATTAAAAGGCCAGAAAACCTACCATACCAAAAAATGGACATATAATAAATTACTTAATGCAGTTGCCTTGAAAAAACAAACATGCAGAGCAAGCCAATACAATAAAGAGGTAAAATACCATATACTATTGCATGCTACTGGTAGTGTGTGGTCGTAGACAGTGTTTTTACCTCTTTATTGTGTGTGTATATATATATATATATATATATATATATATATATATATATGAAGAAATATAGTTTTAATATGTGCTATATTTATGAGATAAAGTGCTCAATATCAGAGATAGAATGTATGTAAATATAAAGGAAAAGATCGTTAGCCTACAACAATCAATCCAAAACCTGCAAACTTTGCTTGGAGGAAAAAACAGCTATTATTACCTTCACAGACCAAAATAAATTACTAAAGTAGCGATCTGAATTCATCTCAAAAGGCAGACATAAAAACAAATTTTTACTACGTCACTTAAAAATAGAAAATGTACAAAGATAAATAAATCACTATGTTACTTAAAAATCAAAAACCGAAAAGAGTAAATAAAAATATTCAAAATAAAAATAAAAAATAAGTAAACAAATAAGAAAAAACAAGTAAAATAAATTAATCCAAATAAACAAATTAACTATTCTCGCTAAAACAGCCATTAGAACAAATAAAAATAAATAAGCAAAAACAAGTAAAAATAATCAATCTGAATAAATAATTAAAATAATAAGCAAAAGTTGAATTGTCTAGATGTAACCATAAGTTCTATGCTAATAGTTTCTTTTCTGGCACTTCTTGCTTGTGGAACTCTATTATGTTTCCATGCTTTCCAGTCAACTTTGATCTTCAAAAATTTAAATACAGTGTCAATCGTTATCTACTGTCTTCTATTGTCCTTACTCCTTAATAATGTTTCTCTTTTACCTTATTCTTTCACACTCAATAACCCCTTGTGTCTTAGTGGTTTTACTGCTTTGTATGGGGTGAATTGTTTAATATATATATATATATATATATATATATATATATTAAAATCTTATTGATTTTTCTTATTT